CTTCTCTCTCTATCCACACCTTCTTCCCTCTCCATCACCTCCTGCTTGGCTTCTCCCTGAGCCTGCTCAGACTCCCGATTTCTCCTGGGGCTGTACTCAGGACAAGACCTCTAAAGCTGTAAATAAATGTCAATTACCTGCCCATTGCTCAGGGATTTGAGCTGTTTCAGAGGAGCCTCATGGAGAGCCACCATTTCCCTCCAAAGCAGAGATTAGGCCATGCCACACGCTGACCTCAGAGATGCTTCATTATTCTTACTTTAAATGATCATTTGGAGCAATTTAGCAGATACAGATGTAACCATTCCCAGCCTAATTCCTTGGATCCCCTCCAGAGAGCCTTAAAGCCAAGGTGCAACACTTAGAGCTCCCTTCCTGGGGGAGAAGAGCTGTTTTTAATGGAAGCTCCCATATTTTTGGCTGGCAGATCTGTCACTCACTCCACGTGCACTCTTAGGTACACACCCATGATGGCCTGGCTGACTTATTGCTTTTTAATTTATCAATTTGTACCATTACTGGCTCCTCTGCCATCCCAGCTCCTGGACCATCCCTCATCTTTATGGCTGGCAAAGAGTGACAGGAGCTGGAAAAGGAAGCAGTGGAACTATGAAGACTCAGGCAAAGAACAAGCTGCAACCAACAAGTTTTCTTGTCTTTATTAGAAAGAGACCTATACAATATAGCAGCCTCTCTCTGCAGTACTTTACAGCTTTTTTGTTCCTTTTTTTTTAATTTTTACTTTTATTTTTAATTATTCAGAATACTGTACAGCTGACACAAAAAATCTCGACGTGTAGAGAGAGAGAGAGAGGAAGGGGGAACATAATACAAACTGGCATACTTAATCAAACCCAAATAATAGGAAACAACAAGCAAAGTGAAATGTTTGTCAATTGGTTTAATTACAGTACAAACAATATAAATAAAGCATCATCGAGTCATTGTAAAACAAACTTGCTGGATGAGGTAATATAAAAACAACAACAAAAGACCTTTTTTTTTTTTGCCTTTTTTTCTTTTTTTTTTTTAGAATTTCCACACCGTCTCATCATCATTTATACATTATTATTTACAGAAACAGAAAACAAACAAAAATAAACCCAAACCCCAACAACCCAAACCTTGCTATGAAGCCTGCCATGTGCCGGGTACCTCCTGCCTCTACCGCAGGCAGGTGTCCCCTGCTCACCTGGGCTCCCTCCCTACTCAGCTGGACAGACAAACACCACAAAGCAGAAGGACCTGGAGGATTTGGGGGCTGAACACAAAATCTGCTGCTCAGGGCTGGGCCAAGCTTTTGGGAGATGCTCAAATCCTGCTGAAGCCCGGGGGTTTTAAGGCAGCAGGAGCTGCAGATCCGAGCCCTTGGCCGTTCCAAGAGTCAGGAATATCACCAAAGGAGTCCCTGGTGTTTTGGGGGACACTCCTGCCCCAAAGCCCCCTCAGCCTGTGCACCCACATGCAGCCACCAGTGAAAGGGGCTCCTGACAGTGACACAGCAAGAGGGAACCTGGGACTAGCACATGATGGGCACATCCTCTTCTCCTCAGCAGATTCCATGGAGAATCCAGCTGAGCCCCTGCTTACCTCAGGAAAAAACACTGGACGGGGGTTTTAACAGCACTTCCAAGGAACTGAAGGAGCGGGAAAGGCAAGATCCTCCCATTGTTTCCAAGATCCTCTAATTTTTCCCCACAGCTCCTTCCTGCCCTCTCCCTGTGGAAGGACAAGGAAGCACAGCCAGGGCAGAGGTGGTGGCAGCAAGGCTGGCTCAGCTCCTCCCAGCCTGCGGCACCCCAGGTTTGTGACACCCCCACTGCAAAATTCTGGAGCCAGTCACGGCCAAGGACACCTGGAGGGAGGGATGAGGAGCTGGAGACAGCTCTTAGAACATCTCCCTTGGAAACATCTCCCCAACAGCCCCACAAGGGAGCAGGACCCTGAGTGCTGCTCAATCCCTGACAGCTCACTGGTCCCACAGCCAGGTTCAGCCAGAAAGATGGGTCTCAAGCAAACTGGTATTTAAAAGAGCCTCTGGAATGCCACTCTGTCCCTTCTACCTTCAGGATCTCCTTCCCTGGAGCTTCCCACCCCTAGGGCTGGCCAGAGGGATTTCCCCTCTCCAGCAAGGCAGGATGTCTCCCCGCCAGCCCTGCAGGCCAAGCTCAAGGCTTTCTCAAGCTGAGTGCTGCTGCCTGAGGGAGTTGGATTTTTGGAAAACCCCTGAGGCTGCAGCAAGCCTGGAGCTCATCTCCCTGCACCTCTCCATCCTTCCAGCCAGTGTCTGGTGTGACTCCAGCTGGGATAAATTCCCATCCAGAGGCTGGCTCCTGCTCCTGGCGGTGATTAGGGCATTCCCACAGTCCCTGACAGCTCTGTGACACCATCACACACACACAGCAAGTGCAAAGTGACCTCCAGGTGACACCTGAGGGCTCAGGACACCCTGGCTGCACCTCACCCACCAGTTCAACTCAGCTCAACCCCTACATTTGGGATGCAGATGCCAAACCCCCACATTCAGCACACAAACCCTTCTTTGGCCCTGCAGGAGGAGTCTGGGCTTTGGGGCACAGAAGAGATGTGGATAAACTCCCTCTGTGAGGGGTTTTCCTCCTCGTGCCCTGCAATTCCTGAACACCAGGGAAGTGTTTTCAGCTACTTCAGGAAACACAAAACCCCCACACGGATCAGTTCTGGAAAGAGGGGAGGAGCAGGGAGCATTCAGTGCCAGCAAGCAAGGTGCCACCATCCCCAAGGCATGCCATGAGACCTCTGAGGTGCCCCCCACCCACCCCCCTCACACCCTGTACACAACACACAGATGGGAAAATGAGTAGCTCTGAAGCACTGCAAAACAGCCGGGCCCTAGCACTGGAAGCTAAAATAAACCACATCCAGAAAATCCATGGCTGAGGGGAAGCTGAGGCTCTGCCTGCCCACAGAACCCAATGTGCCACAGGGGTTTGGGGTGCAGGCAGGCACGGGGAGATGAAGAGGTTAAAACTGCTGAAATGCACAAAGACAGCTTTATTTTATCCACCCACAAGCAAAATCCTCCCCCTTGAACATGGTAGGAAACGATGGGAGTTCATTCACCCACATCCTGCTGTCACCCTGAAATGAAACATGGGGCCAGAAACATGCTTGGCAATTTGGGGCTGAAGATGGCCCTAAAAAAAACCCCAGACTGACCTTTTACTTTTCAGAAATCATGCAATTCCCCTCTCTAAACGTGAACTATTCACAGCTCCTGACAATCCTGGCCAAAAGCCCTCAAAACTCCCTTTAAAATGTGGGACAGACTCAATCAAGTCAAGGTAAACTGTCCCAATATTTACTGTAAAAACTGGCCCATGCTAAACAACAAAGCAAAACCTACAAATATCCTAAACCAACAAATCCACCCATCTACAGCTCTGGATGTTTTGCTCTACGACCTCTATTATTATTTTCCAATAAAACCGTTCAAGCCAACCTTCCTTTTCTTTTGGTAGCTTAGAACTCAAAACTCACTGCAGAACCTCTTGATTTGGGGTAGTTCAGTGTTTCTTTTTTGCCTTGAAAAGAACTTTACTCTGGAGCAGTTTTGGGTTTTTTTCCCTCTTGTGCAGCAAACACAAGAATATCCAAACCTGGCTTTTCTGTGCAGTCAATTTTACCCACAAACCATCCAGAATGGAAGGTGTGGAACTGAGGGTCCACAGGCAGAGATCCCACCTAAGGACGGGATTGCTGCAGCAGCCCCCTAAGGGGGAAGGAAGATGCCTGACAGTGAGATGAGGATGAGGAAGTTGTCTCCTCTCCAGCCAAGCTGCCCCAAAGTTTGGTCCCCAACGCTGCCCTCGAGTCCCCCCTCTGACAAGAACCACGTAACCAAACATGAAATGACCATTTCACCAACAACAAACCCCACAAACCATCCCTGTTAAGGTGCAAAGGCGGCTCCCCGAGACGTTTGGGAAGGGCCCCTTGGGGACCCCCTTGTGAAATCTGTGCTTGTCTCCACTACCACTACTCTGAACTAGAAACTACAAATTACTTCATTTCTCCCGATCTCCATACAAATATAAAAGCTGAAGCTATTCCAACCCCATAGACTCTAATTTTTCTACATTACAGTGCCGGAGATCATTTCCACACCCGGACCTGCGCTCCCACCTCCGCTCCTCTCCCCACATGACTCTGCCTTCTCTGGCCCAGGCAAATCTCCAAGTGCAGCTAAAGCTTCTTCTTGCACTAACACACATAATTTAAGGGAAGGGGGACAAGACAGTGAATTAAACAATGTTTACACAGTTATTTTACACTGCACCCAAATGCTTCAAAATCCTCTCCACCTTCCAGGAGCTCACCCGGCTTTCCCAGCAGCAACAAGGTTCTCCAAGCTTTCCTTTCTTTCCCCTGCTCCTTTTTTTAACCACCAAAATTGGAAATCTGGCAATGGGAGCCCTTGGCCAAACCTCTGCCTTCAGGGCAGAATTTTCCCATGGTTGGGTCTTTTTCCTTCATGAAGAACAAGGAGAAAGAAGGGAACTGTCCTGGCAATATCCAGGCTCAGCTGTGACACATCCAACTGAATTCCACAGCAATTAGCCAAAGGGAGGAGGAAATATGGAAACACCAGTGGCTGAGCTGCTCCTAGTGTTTTAGTCATGGATAAAGTGCAGCGGAAGGGGATTGCAAGGAATCTGGGGCGAGGGGAAGGGTTTGGGGGTGCAATGCCAACCACTGCCACAGCCTCCAGAGGAAACAGCTCTGCCTGCCAGGTTTCTGCTGGGATTTCTCATGGACTGGGTCACAGCTAGGGCTTGTTTTGTTCCCAACATGCTCCAAAGGTGTGAGGGTTCCAAACAAGCAACAAGAGTGGCTAAACAATGAGCCAAGGAGCGGGAGAATGGAGTGAAAGCATCGGGAACCATGATTCCTGTGGAATCTCCAAGTGCCAGGGGGCCTTGCCTGATTCTGCCCCTGGATGGCTCCGGGAGCAGCCTCTGCAAAGTGCAAACACATCCCCTGACAAGCCTGGGAGCTCTCCAAGCCAAGCCCCACCAGGATCCAGCCAAGGAGAGCTTCCTGCACTCCCTGCCAGGAGTGACTTGGTGACAACAGCCCTGGCTCCCTCAGCCAGCAGGTCCCTTCCAGCTCAGGATATTCTGGGATCTCCTGACCTTCCAAGGGAGCTCTGCCACCTGCAGGGCTGGGAATTCTCCCCACAGACCCCACATCCACACTGCTTCAACACAGTTATGCCAACACTTAGGGGAAAACCACATTTAGGTTAAAAGCAACCATGCTACCACTTAATTAAAGCAGCACTTGGCTTGCCTGGATGCATAATTTTTCCTGTAATAGACTGGAATTTCCTCTCCTAAAAATATTCTGTGCTTTTTCAAGGGTTGGCCTCAGAAGATTTTTAGGAAAGGACCATGAAATTTGTCCTCCTGCAATCTGCCTGGTTGCCCTTGTTTCTCAAGCATCACCCTCAGCCTTGTCAGAGGAAGGTGGCCCAAAGAGAGCATTAAACAATGTACAGAAAATCATCTCAATTAAGGAAAAAAAAAACAAAAACAGCTCTGAAAAGGAATGTGCACTTTGAACCCTGGGTTTGAAACACTGGACTTGGTTTTTTGGGATACAAATGCCCTGGATGCTCCTGGGGGGAGCTCTAGCACCTCTGGGATTGCCATTCCTGAATCCCTGCTGTGGCAAAGCTCCTGAGCACCAGCACACAGAGGGGGTTTCACAGCATCCCACATCAGCTGGGCTGTCCCCTCCCTGAGGGACCACCTCCGAGTACCAAATGTCAGAAATGGTGGAGAAATGGCAGTTCAGACGGACACCTTTTCTGAATTAAAAAAAAAAAATGAAAATTCAAATATTTAGAAGTATCCCAGGGGGAAGGGAATCAGCTGTGTCTGGTGCAGTCAGCTTTGGCTGGCTGGAGAAAGATTCCCTCCCCCAGATACTCAAAGGTCTAGAATACAACAAAGTATAAAAGGACAACACCACCAAAGAGGAGAAGCTGGTCAATATCCCTGTGCTGCCACCTCAAGGCTCGTTTTTCAGCCACAATTTTGCCTCAAATCCATAATTTTTCATTTTTTTGGTTTTCCTTAAGATAACCACATGGCATTTCTTCCTTTGCATTTTTTCCACATTCAGTTTATTCAGCAACTGCTCCTCCCATTTGTGTGCTGAGTGAAACCCAGAGCCCCAAGGAAGAGCACCACCAAAGGCTTGGGAAATACACAGGAGCAGGTTGCAAATTGCCCTGCTGTGTGCACCTCTCTGCCTTCACATAATTGTTCCTTTGACATCCAATTCAGTTGAGTTTTCAACTTTCCCCATGATAAACCATGCCCCCATCCCCACACTGCCATAAGCCACTTCTAAAGAAAAACAACAAAAAAATCACTTTTCTGCCTGCCAAAACCTCTGCTTCCCCACACCAGAATGCTGCTAGTGGGAGGCAGGAGAAGCTGGGATGCAAGACCAAAATGGCCCAATCAGGTATTAAAAGTTGGAATTGAAAGGAACTGTCCAGGGCACTTGCACAAGCCATTTTTCTAGCCAAAAGCAGCCCTGCCCGCCGTGCTGAAGGCTATCAATTCTGAACTTAATCAAATCTGATCTTCCCCCAGCCAGAATGGGCCTTTTTGTCTTGGCTTCTGAAAGCTTCCTGACTTCTGGAGTAAAATATATTTACAGTGCTGAGGAACAGCCTCTTTTCTCCTTCCTAAATGCTTTTTTTTCCTTCCCTGATCTCCTTCTGATATGTTGTTCCTCACAGGCTTTGGAAAGAAGTGTTCACTGCTGGGAATATTATCAATGTACAATAATGATCTGTAACCCACAGATCCTAACTAGTTGCACATTATTTAGTTCACATCCATTACAGTTTATAAATTAACAGAGATGTAATTTTCTGTACAAAAAAAAATCAATGTATATTTACGGTCCTTTTTTTTATTCAAATAGATTTTAAATACATAGAATCTAGAGACACAATACAAAAATCTGTATAAGTTAGGCAATGCATCACAGGAGTGACCAAAAAACTCAACACAATTTACCTTGGCAAAATGACAGAACCTATTTCTGCTGGCTGAAAACATAAAAAAAAAATAAAAAAAAAATTAGCCTTTAATGCATTTATTAATTTCACCAAACGTACTTGAAATGTTGTTTTCCACAGCGGTATTCATTATTCCTTTTTGTGTTTCAGGCTTACCCTTATTTATTTTTTCCATTTTGTTTTTACACCAAGGAGACTGCAGTCAAATAACACTCAGCAACTCATTTCCTCTCTTTGGACTGAAAAATTAAACAGATACTAAATTATGACAGTGAATTTAGAAAGGAGGGCTCCAAGGGCTCGAAAGAACATGTCTGAGATAATATGATGCTTCTAAGAATATTGCAATCACATCCAAGCAATCACCGAAGCGTGCCATGTAACTACCTCCTCAGCTAATATGCTTTTTTCTCCGTGATGACTAATCATGTTCTATTAAACAGCAGTAATGCTGGAAGAACTCAACTATACAAGTGTAATGAAGCCAGTATTCTCCCCGGACAGATTAGCTACAACTGATTTGACACATACCATCATAGGAGCTTCAAACCTGACAAACTCTGTGCTTGCTTCTGATTTATGCCGTCAAGCTCTTCGGGAGAAGAGAATGGAAATCCAGGCGCCGCAGAGGTGAAATGTTCTGATGTGCTTCACTGTCACTTAGGGAAAGTCACCGTCTCTCCTTCCTTCTCTCCTTCTTTCTTTCCTTCCTTCCGCTCCGGCTCGCCTCTCCCCGCGGTGCCGGTGCCACCCGGCACGGCCCCCAAACCCAGGGCCTGCCCGGCATGGCCCCCAAACCCAGGGCCTGCCCGCAGCCCCCGCGCTCCTCCCGGGCCCCCCGCGCTCCGCTGGCACTCGGGATGGACGCAGGGAAAAGGGAGGAGGAGGAGGAGAGGAGCGGACTCACAGAGCGGAGCTGCGATGGCGATGGAGGAATGTGAGGCTGCGGCCGCCGCCGGGCTCAGCCAAGGCGCTCCCCTCAGATAATGGTGGGCATCCTCCCGCCACTGTTGTTGCGGTTGTTGTTCTTCCTGGACAGGTTTGGGGTGGCCATGAGGGCGAAGCGCTCGTCGGGGCAGCCGTACTGCAGCAGCACATCGATGCACTCCTGGCTGGAGGCCTGCCGGGCGTAGGCCAGCGCCGTGTTCCCGTGGGCGTCGCGCGCCATCACGTCCACGCCGTACTGCGGGGTGACAAGAGGGGGGAATCACAAACCACAAATGGCACCTGAGCTTTGGGAGCTGGGATGTGACAATTTGGGGAGGGGGTTTGGGATTGGAGGTGAGGGAGCAGCCTGGCAACACAAGCACGGCAGCGCTGAGCCACGTATGGAAAAAATATTTCTGAGGAAGGGACAAAATCGTGTGGGACAAAATCTGCCCTAGCAGACTCCAAGCTAAGGGAATCTCTCCTTCCTCCTTTCCCATGCTCTCCTTCGCTTTCCAACAAGCAGCAGAGAGGCAGAAACGTGCTTTTCTACCACCCTCTGAAAGCATGCAGTGAGGAACACCCACCTTGAGGCCATGGTGCCCTGAAGCCCTCCAGGAGCAGCTCTGGCCCATCCTACTGAGGGACACAGCCCCTGGCAGGAGTCCTTACCCACATGAGGAGGCCATGAAGCCCTCCAGGAGCAGCCCTGGCCCATCCTCCTGAGGGAGGGCAACGAGTCCCTACCCACGTGAAAAATGTATATTTTGTGACTGGCTTTTCACAAGAATTAAAATGACTATTATATGTCTTGTGTTAGAAAGTGATGCTGTATTAATTCACTTAAGTAGTGTGTTAAATATGGTTTTAGGTTATAAAAGATGTTAAAATAGAAACAATGCTATGTAGGATACTTTTTTTAAAGAAAGGACTCGCAGCAAGATAGCAGCCACAGGACATCTGAATCTTTCAGAGAAAGAGAATTTATTGCCCTCTTATCAGAAGAAACGAACTTCTTCCCACCTCGAAGGCACTGTTAGGATTCAGAGGAAGAAGTTGAGGATGACCAGATGGAAGCCTGTGTTTGAATGGAATTTATGCATCATGTATGAAGTGTATGTATATGCAACATATAAGGTTTTTTTTTTTTAAGGGTTAATCCTCTGTTAACGTGGGTCCTTTTTTGGGTTAGTGCTTGTACCCGGACGTCCATAACTCTTTGGTTCTATTGTCTCGTATTGTCCTAATTCAAATTGTCCAAATTATCATTGCTCTAATTGCATGACTATTTTCACAACCATTTTATTACTATTAAACTTCTAAAATTTAAAAAAAACAAGTGATTGGCGTTTTTCATACCCATACGAGGAGCTGCAGCAGCACCACCCTGAGGCCATGGTGCCATGAACCCCTCCAGGAGCAGCCCTGGCCCATTCTCCTGAGGGACACAGCCCCTGGTAGGAGTCCTTATCCACATGAGGAGGCCGTGAAGCCCTCCAGGAGCAGCCCTGGCCCATCCTGCTGAGGGGGGCAGCGAGTCCTTACCCACATGAGGAGGCAGCGAGTCCTTACCCACATGAGGAGTCCTTACCTCCAGGAGCAGCTCTGGCCCATCCTGCTGAGGGAGGGCAGCGAGTCCTTGGCCACATGAGGAGCTCCAGCAGCACCACCCTGAGGCCATGGTGCCCTGAAGCTCTCCAGGAGCAGCTCTGGCCCACCCTCCCGAGGGACCCAGCCCTGGCAGGAGCTCTTACCCACATGAGGAGGCCATGAATCCCTTCAGGAGCAGCCCTGGCCCATCCTGCTGAGGGAGGCCAGAGAGTCCTTGCCCACATGAGGAGGCCATGAATCCCTTCAGGAGCAGCCCTGGCCCACCCTCCCGAGGGAAGCCAGAGAGTCCTTGCCCACATGAGGAAGCCATGAATCCCTTCAGGAGCAGCCCTGGCCCACCCTCCCGAGGGCCCCAGCCCTGGCAGCAGCCCTTACCCAGATGAGGAGCTGCAGCAGCACCACGTTGCCCTTGCGGCAGGCCAGGTGCAGGGCCGTGCGCCCGTCGCCGTCGCCGCAGGTCTCGTTGACCTCGTCGCGCGTGCCGTGGGCCAGCAGCAGGATCACCGTCCTCAAGTCCTCCTCGGCCGTGGCCCTCAGGAGGTGCTGGCCCAGAGAGAGCTCCAGGCACTGCAGAGGGGCGAGGAAGAGCTTCTGCTCGTACTTGGCGCGTATCCAGAGCTCTTTTTCTTCCCTAGGGGAGCCAGAGGGGACAGGTCACTCTCAGCTGGTGTCGCAGCCCACAGTGCTCAAGCAACAAGGAGGTTGTTTCCCCTTTCAAATTTATGGCAAGAAAGCCCTCACAGGAAGAGTTCAGCCAAACCTTAGGAGCAGTTCACCCAAACCTTGTATTTTTAGCAATATTTGTGTTGTCCACCTTGCTGTTCCAGTGCTCAGGATCCTCCTTGATGGATGCTGTGCCAGCATCCATGGGGTTGGAAGATGACAACAGACAGGAGGTCTTAAAAAGCCCTGGGCCAGCAAGAGGTCAGGGCAAGAGCCCTCACTTTGGTCACAAAGACACAACAAGGTTCCACTTCAAGGCTGGAAAACACACTGCAAAAAAAAAAAATGCACCCCATTTCTGTAACCCAGACCAGAAGTAACCAAATGGGGGCTTTGTCCCCCTCCAAACTGAGTAATGCTCCCAAAGGCATAAGGATGATTCTTCTTGTTTTCCCAAAATTCAAACCAGTGCTTTGAAGCACCTTTTCCTCCTGATATATCAAAGAACCATCAGAAGCTTTCTGGTGCTATCAGGTTACAGCAGAACAAGGACTACAAACAAGGCCCTCCACTCGCCCCCTTTCAAAAATTACCATACAATTACATGATCTGAGAACAGCAGCACCAGACAAGAAAGTCCCATTTAGAGGTCCCTCAGGTAATCTGCTCAGCCTGTGAAAACCACAAACATCACCTGAGCCAGGCAGCTGGGTCCTGGTGACAGATTCTCTCCTCTGGAGTACAAAAGGCCAAGCTCTGTTTACGCCTTTCAGCCGTGTTTACACTGCTCCCAGTAATCTAGTGTCAGGTTAGCCCTAATCTGTTTTTAAATACTTATGTAAACATCTCCTTCCACCAGCAAATCTGGATTAGTTTTGCATCATTTCCTGGGACATGCGGAGTGACCTTGCTGTGACCTGCCTGGATGCTTTCAGGCACAGCTTCCCAAAGCAGGCACAGCTTCCCTGCCCTGGCCACAGTTTGCCCCACAAACGGGGCCAGGCCTTTTCTTCAGAGCAAAAGTGCAAACAGAAAATTAGCACAGAGAGTGCTTCTTTTACCTCAAGCCTCTGAATGGCTCCTGCAAACTAAAAGGCACACCAAAAAAAAAAAGCCCTTCCACAACCCATTTGGGCAGTTGCAAATTAACCTTTGATGGCAGGACCTGATAAATGGAGTATGGCTGCAGGTATTCCAGATGGAGAGGAGGAAGAAAAAGAGTTCTGTTATCAGAATCTTTAATTCATGGTTTTTCTAATTACATTTTTTTTAAGGTAAAAAGCCGAACTAGAACCAGTGCCACGAAAGGAATAAACTAACACATAATTATCTACAATAAAATGGGCATTCTTGCAACAGTTCTGCTCCCAATATCCAGCTAGATTATCTTCAAGAATGTTAGCAAAGACCTCAGATGATTTTTAAACTCACGCAGTGGTATTGAGAGTATAACCAACACATCCACTACACGTTTAAAACGTGCCAGACTGGAAAATGAGGTGATTCAACCTGTGCTGTTCACCCACAGTAATGCACACCAGGGCTCTGGGAATTTATTTTTCAAATGTCCATACATCCTAAAGGCAAAATACTCCTCAGATATGTAAGCAGTATTTTTTTAGCTTAGTCAAGAGTCTGTAAATTAATCTCTCTCTCTCCCCCAGACCATCTTTGGAGTGAGAGAAACTTTTGACTCCTATCAGAGCACTGGTGGCTCAAGAAAAAAAGCTGTTTGACACAAATCTCCCACTTCCAATCACCATTCAGCCTAAACTCTAATAGTGAGGCTAAAAGGAGAGAATAACTGTGTAGCTCAGGCAGAGGCTCTCCAGGCTTGAGGCTGGCAGGTTCACAAATCTATCAGCACCAATTTCACATTTGCTCTGCACATTTGCACAACCCTGATGCTCCTGGAAGGATGCAAGAAAGAGAGATAGGGATGCCCCAGTCCTGCTCAGCTTTGTCCTACTGCCTCAAAAGGCTGGGGAAAGAAGAGGAACCTCTTTAGTAGCCAATGTCACAGGAAGGGGAATGTGCTGCCACCTGCCTCAGCGCTGGGCACCAAATGAATTCACTCAGTAAGGTCCAGTTCCACCTTTGGAGTCACATCAAGGGTCGTGGTGGAACTATAAATCAAAATAAAGGTGTTTCAGAGGCCTCAGATGTTTGGGGCAGTCACTGACATCAGTATGGAGTGAGATTCAGGTCTTTTTCAGCAGTACAAACTGGGCACAAGGAGGATTTGGATGTTAGGGATGAAAACAAAACCTCGTCAGAGGTGAGAGGAAAAGCACGCTGGACTACCCCTCATGGACAGCCACAACACACAGGGACTGCTCTCCAATGAGCATGTTCACAAACATCCTGCCTCCATCTCTGGCACAAACCCTTTCATTTGGATGGGATGTCCTGGGGACTTTCCTGCTCCACCGCCTGACAACAAGACACAAATACTGCAATTGTTGCTCTGATGCCCCAATTTCACTTCTGGGATCCACAGCTTGTCTTGGTTGAGGTTTCATTTCCCCCAAGGAAGGCCAGTCCAAGAGCAGAGTTGTCAGCAGTAGATCACTTAACCTCATTGCAGTTCCCTGGAGGACCACTGCTCACATCCCCTGTTAGTTAATGAGCTAAAAAATGAATTATTGGAGCGGTCAGCAATAAGCAGGAAGAGGAGGCACAGTGTTTCATTTCAGCCAGCACTGACATACCTTTAAATAAATCAACTGAAGAAGAGCACGAGGAAGTGTGAGGGAGAGCAACTCATGAGGAGAAAGACACTGAACCAGTCCCTAAAATAAAGGCTAGTAAATATTGCCCTCTCTTCCTCCCTTAATTGCAAGCCTGGCAATTCTAAAGGACCCTCTCCATACCAGGCACTTCCAGCTGTAGTTGTCAAAGCCAGACCAAGACTCTTTCAGTGAACTTTCAGCAGTGGAGTCCTTGTCTCAGGAGCAAATCAAAGCTGCTGTGCTGTAGAAACAACATCTTCATGTGCTCTGCTGGTCCCAATGACACCAAACACTGGGGGAGGTCTGAGCTGCCTCTTCCTCATATGCAGCAAAACAAATTCATTATGAGCTCCTTGATGAACTTAGAGAAATGAGCAACAGAGCCCTAAGGTCAGAAGTTCTTTGAGCCTTTTCTCGCTAAATATCTGTGTTCAAACACTGATCTGTATCTGCTGGTGCAGACTCCAAACCTCACTGAGCTTGCCCCTCACACAAGGGCACATACAGCAGAAAATCACTGCAAAACACCCCACAGAACCAGGAATGAGTCACCAGTGTTGTCCAGAAAGTGCCACCAAGCTCTCTGCTCCTGCAGGAGCCTCCATCACTCATGAACCCCAAGAACACACAGTGGTGTGAATAACAAAACCCCTGCTGCAGCAGCAGCACTGTACACAGGTAAAAGGTTATTAGAAACAGATGAAAATTTCAGTTCTCCGTTTATTTTGATCTAATTAGGTGCTTGCTTCTCAAGATAATGTCCAATTATTTAAATTACTCTGCCAGCCACATCACATCATTATTATGTGGAAACATAAATACTGGGCACTGGAAGGGGGGAGGGTAAGCAGGGAGCATCAGAAAAGAGGAAAAGCAGATTTGCTTCCAGCACAGCCTCACATCCCACACAGCTCAGCCCCATCATGTGCTGCACTGGGTTTTCCACCCTACCAATGCCATCAGAAGCCTCATCCTGTTGGTACCCACCCTCCATCCTGACTCCTCCTCGCTCCCATTCACCTCTGCCTTCACCTCCACTTGTCCCTCACAGATTTTTGGTGGAGTCACATCAGCAGGCAAACAAGAAGAGGATGTGCAGGGTGGGAAAAGAAGTGGTGCTCATGCAGTGACCCAGAACTGCCTGAGTGGGCAACAGCACATGGCTGGAGAGGCTGGGAACTTGCCATCAGAATTCCACAGCTCCAGAGCAAGAGCAGCCTTGCTCTTCCCAAAGCATGACTAAAAGGATGACTAAAATGTCATGTTGTTATCCAGAGTTACTCACCGCTTGTCAAAAACCTGGAACAAATTCTGAAGGTTGAATTAGAAAGACAGCGGACAGCAGGTATTTACCATGGCCCAGCATTGATTTCCCACCACCAGAAATGAGAGCAGGCTCCTTACAGGCACTTTGAAGTGAAGTTTTATCCTCCACACCTCTGACAACACTGAAAAGCTCCTCATTTTTTTTCATCCTTTCTTCTCTCCTGCTACAGGAACTAATTCTGTAAGGGAGGAGGCCTCTCAGTGGTGTCTCCACGGTGGCTGTGCAGGTGCTGTGCCCGTGTGTTGCCATTTCTGGTTGCTCACTGAAGTACAACCCTTTAATGCCGTGGTAACCTGGCCAGCTCAGCAAGAGCTCTGCCAAATTTCCTCTCCTGTTGGCCAGCTGACAAGGTTAATGTGTCTCTTCCAAGAAAATGAAGTAAATCTAAGCCACTGCACCTCCCAAACTCCTGGAAGAGCCCCAGGATGTGTCATTAGCTTCGTGGTCCAGCACACAAGGAGCACATATCACCTAATGACCAGCTGCATGTGCTGGGGCTTCCCCATTAAACATGATCCCAAAAAATGGCACTGCTTTGGACAGGGCTGGTGATGCAGGCTTGGGATGGGTAAAAGGAAAACACTGAGGGTGGGGGCAGGATTGCAATGTTGGAGAAAGGTTAAATGCAATTAAAATGATGCTTTTAATTGCAACAGCAAAAGCGGGGAGGAGAAGAAGAGAGGGCGAGAAGAAAGGGGCTAGCAGCAAGGAATTTCCAAAGTGCCTTCCTGCCCCGAGCAAAGCAGGAACTGGGAGGAGAGGCATGGAAGAGGGGCTGGGAACAATGTGCTGAGAAAACACAGGGGCTTCCTCTCTCTCTGCAGGAGAAGACCCCTCTGCTGCATTGCAAAGGCAGCGCTGGGCAGCTGAGCGGCTCCGTGCCCCGCATGCCTCCCCGCCCCGCCGCGTTGCTAAGGGGGAAGGCACGAGCCCACCGGGA